CTTACTTTAAGGCCGCCCGACAACCCTCCTTTCGTACGTATATACGTGGGATCCCTCCGCGCGATGGAGATCGGTAATTAATCATTTAGAACGGTGGTCTTGCGAGAGAAAGAGGGGTAGACGATAGGGGGGGTGAAGGCTAGGAATGGAGCGAACCTTTTCGCGTGCGATTTTCAAACTCGAGAAATTATAATAGAATTGCTTATTGAAGAAATCGATAATCTAGCATATTATATATGCCACAAGATAACATTGATAATTACTAGATTTCTCCTCATATAATTAAAAAATATGTACATATTTAATTGTAAATATGTGCATATTAAAATATAAATAATTATAGTATCACCGCGTAATATTATTATTATTTTGCATTTCTTCTTGCAATTTGCATTTAAAAAAATATGTTGAAATATTTTAAAAATATTAAAAAAAATAAAAATATGTTAAAAAATAAAATTTAAAAAATTTTCTAGTTGCTAAATTAAATTTCAGTGTATATTATAATATTCAAATTATAATTGATCAAATCAAAAGGGCTAACAGTCGGATCGAGTCCATCTCTAGGAAGGGAACAAAAGGCCAATCTACACGAGTATGCACAAAGTAGGAAACGCCAAGTGGCTAGCGTTGGACTGAGATTAGCTCGAACCACGCACAGGTGTACACGAAATCAGAACTTCCCTTCCAACGCTTTCGTGTCGACGTCGAAGAATCATGCGTGTGTGGAAAGTTTAGGACCGTTTACGCAGATCTTATATACATGCAGTCATATACGTACGGACGATCAAAGTTGTCGCATATTGCTGATGGAAAGCCTGCAACACGTACGTTGACAGCTATATCACGCCTCGCAGGCAAATCAAGCCGATATTCATGTCCTTTGAAAAATATATAATTTCCGCCTTTGATATACGAGAGCTAGAATATATATATTTCTCGCCTGATAGGAAATATTTCTTCTATAAATAGAATTTAGATTTTAGAGAGTTTCTCCTTTTGTGGATTTTAATTTGATTTCATGATTGTGAGAATAAAATTAATGTCTTTTATAAAAAATTATAAAACGAAGAAACTTTGATCGATTTTCCTTTTTCGCAAGGGTCAATTCGCGGATACAAGAGATGTATGCACGATATTTTACTTGACATAGAAATTATAATTTTACTCGATAAAATAATGTTTACATTATAAATAATTTTTATATTTTTAATAAAATTAATTATTTCGATATCAATGATTTAAATAAGTAAGTGCGATGAAAAAAATTCTAAAACGGAAATAAATAACAAAATTTTCGAAACTTGCGTAATATTGAGCAAGATTTCAACGGCATTGCAGTGGTAAGTATGACCAACGACTTTGAAAGGAAAAAAAGAAACGAGCACATAAAGAAACGATAATGTGTCTCCGAGTCTGCGTAATGGAAAGGTACGTTCACGCTAAGTACGGCGCTATGTATGTACTGTACGTATGTAAACCGTGTATCCGACGTATGTTCCAGTCGTTATCGCAATCTCGACCCCGTTTGATATAACAGTCACTGTGACGACTATCGTCTTCCAACACGCAAGGCCGCCACCGAGGTGGTTTGCACAGCCGCAAGGGTTCTCTATAAAATTGTTACAATGCGTGGAGTAACTAATGGCGACGGCGATAACGTCCATCGGTAGGTAGATGTATAGATAAAAGTACGACCGTGCGCGATACAGCTGGCAACGAGCGGAGCAAAGGAAAACGAAGAAATAGTTACATCTCGTCGTAATGTCAATTCTATGCTACTACGATATCTACGCATTAATGACGTTTCTCAAAAATTGTTCATTACACTGCTATGCGTGCCACGAGCGGAAACATCACTTACGAGTGCAATTAATTGAAAGTCGCACGTGATGCGAATATATTATATGCTTGAGTTAAGTGAAGAGATTCTTTAACAGATATCCTTGTATAATTGTGTGCATTAATCTTCCAGAAACGCAATATTCATTATAATTTTGTGATATTTATGATCGTCCAATATGTATGGCACGTTAAATTATTGAATATTTATTATGTATTAAAACAATTAATATGTGTAAAATTAATCTAAAAAGAGATAAAATGTATTATTGAGTTTTCTCTTAAGAAAAAACAATTTTGAGATTATTATTTTAATTTTTATCTTATTATATCTTTTCTATATGTTTATCTACATCTACAGACAGTTCGATATATTTAATTCTCACTTTAACAAGTCGTCTCTAATTTTCCCCACGCATGACTGACCGCGGAATTCATAAATAAAGCCAGCGAGCAGTCAATTAGCGCGAGGATATATATAATTAATCGCGAAAGAATCGGAACGGTCGGCTGAAGGATGATATGGGACGATGGTTGGACTTCCTGACGGAATTCATAAGCGCGACCGCGATGATTCGGGACAGTTAGGAGGTCGCTAACGAGTGTTTCCTCGCAGAGACCGATCCAGACGATGTCCCTAGGGCTGCCATTATCGTTGACTTGGTTGCCTCCGCCATTATCCACGACTACAACAACCCGCCAGCTACATCCACCTTCTGATCGTCCCATCCCTCCGAATCACGGCCCTCCTCGTTAACCTCGAAACGATGGAGGGCTCTCTCTCTCTCGCTCTAACCTCTTCTACCGAGCCCTTCTCCGGCTCTTGCATTTTGCTCCACCCTCGCCACCCTCCTCTGTAACGCACAAATACATTTAGTAACGTCAACGTGGGAGAACCCGCGGAAAGAGGGTGGCCTCCCGAGAGTATCCTAATGAGCGCGAGCTTGTCTGATTTGTGTAAATACATGCGACTATCTATTTTGTTAGAAAACAGCCGAGAAATTATTCTATTCTATTGTGGCTCATATATACGTCTATCTGTCACAAAATCTTTCTTTTAAATAAACTATCATCATATTAAAGCCATTATTAATTATTACATTTTGTACAATATAAATAAATAATATACTTTTTTAAACAGAGGGATATATATATGTATAGAAATAAAATACGATAAAATTTGTTATTAAATAAAAATATGAATAAAGGTATGAATTAAACGAGTGAATTTGTTAAGTTTACACATTTTTAACAAAGCACAGTAATCTCCTCTTCAATCGTTCGTTATCGTTTATTGCATTTTTCATTGCATATAAAGTCGCCGGATGGACTATTTTTTTTTTCAGATATGTTTTCTTTTTTTTTTTTAACTCGCACACGGTATTCCGCGGCACGCAAACCGATCAAGTTTGCCTGCCGCGAAAACAAGCCGCTCTTGTTTTCGCGCGATGATCAATCCACCGTGAATCGCCTCCATCTCTCGCATCTCTCCCTGTTTTTGCGCGGAGAGAAACAACAGTTTCGACGTTCTTTCTCTCAACGATAACAAAGGAACGATGAACGGATCGAGCCCCGTCATTTTACCGAGTCGCGAAAAAATATACTTTCGCCGACGACGAGAGAGAAACGTGAAATATCTGAGGCGTGTGAAACACATAGTTTACAGCCTATACATTGGATTCGATGTTTACTCGAAAAAGAAGAGCCGGGAAGTCACAAAAATCGCACGCGGTCACTTCTGGAATCCTACTGACTCGCACAACGCGTGTTATTTTACCCCATTTTTAAATTAAAGCGCGCTTTTTTATCTCTATTAAAATACCGCTGACAAAATATTATCGATTATTATTTGAACAAATTAATGATCGATGAATCCAGCATCGCACTTGTATATTTCTTCCCTATGAAAATAGACGGCAGAAATTGGCATTTTCGCGTCTTGCGTGTTGCATATCGGTCATGTGTGAGGACTACGTGCGGCAGTTTGATGAGAAAGCATTGATTGCCGCGCTTCGCCGTGATTAAACGCTGATTACGACTAATTATCGAGCGGGCGCGCACTCTCTTGCAAGATCCGCCATTTATAATTCCCCTCGGAAGAAGACTTCCCATACGATTCGCTTGAGGACTCCACACGTGGACGCGCGCATAGACACGCACTGGAAAGTCCGCGCGTTCGGTAAACGCACGTCGTACATTGAACTCGTTGAACGTCGTATTCGCTGACGACCAAGGGGGCAAAAACCCCGAAGAGGCTGTACGCGTATCGGCGAGTCTCTCTCTTGGCCTTCTGAACCTCTGATTAAAAATGGATGCGCGGCAAGGGACCGAGATAGCATTGAAGACAGCGGCGTATGCCACGCTATAACTAATTGTTGTGTAACGATGGGGGATTGCATCTTATCGTTATGTTGTTGCACGTTGCATCGCCTAATCGCGAGATAGATTGCATTCTTCCGAAACATTACTCTTCCTATGATTTATCAGAAATTTCGCACGGCCGACGTGGCGCCTTCTCCTGTAACTACCTCCAATTACTTATCCAATTAGTTCGCAAGTAACGGTAATGCTGTTTGTTGTCCTAACACGTAAACGCGGTGCATCGCGTACGGAAAAAAAATTCACGTTTTTACATGTAAATGCTCCTTTTAATAAACGAGTGGAAAAAGAGAGAATTTCTATTATTGTAGTAATTAATTAAACCTACTCGCAATTAAAAACATGAACTTGGCTCGATCTAATCTCGCAGAGAAATAAATAATCTTTAGTGTAGTTCCTGAAAGAGAAAGAGAGAGAGAAAGAATTTAAAGATTACCTAAAAATGGAAGTGTTACGTAGAATACCAAAAATTATTTCCCATTTACATGCACATATGTATTACATATATCATAAAATAGATAGATTTAAGGAAAATTATAATAAATTATTAAATTAATAAATTAGAAGATAATAAATTATAAGAAAATAAATTTCGCACTCAGGATATTACAAGAAAATTACAGATCGTTATATTATTATACGATAATTTTGGAAACAAAATTCCGAAATCAATTTTTATGCAATCTCAATTTCAATTCCATTCATTTCAAGTTAAAAATATTCCATACATCATTTCTAAAATAAAGTAATCGAACTCTACGTGGTACAATTTTGTCGAGATGCACCCTCTGAACTCGGTCGAGTATACGAGCGAGAAGAAAAGGACAGGCCGCTGTCGGTCGCAACAGCAGAAGAAGCGGAAGAGGAAGAAGAGACCGCGGCGAAGAAGTAGCGGGGCGGGGACGGAACTCCGTCGTAAATCACCAGCAGTACGGAATAACTGGCAAAAGCGCGATAAATCAGGGATCCCCGGGCACCGAATTAGGAAATTGCCTGCTTAAAAACCGCAATGACGTTAATCCCAGCGTGCCAGCAAGTCAGCCAGCCAACCAGCCAACCAACGAACCAACCAACCAACCAACCGAGCAACCAGTCAGCCAACCAACCAACCAACCAGTCAGCCAGCCAGCCAGCGAGCTGCCGTTCGACGTACGTATATATCGGCAATCCGGAAAATAAAACTGATTCGGCTAAGGAGCGATGCCCGGGTTGAATAATGCGGAATAAAATCAACGTAACTCAATCGCGCTTGTCTTTCGAGATCAGCCTCCCCGTCTTTGCCGCTGATAAATGTTCGATATACACCACCGACTACCTGTATACGGAAGTAGCTCGTTTTTCTAATTCGCCGTCTACCGCGAGTACATTAGGAAAAAGGCGATGTTTGGGAAAGAACATAAGGCACGACCATGATGTTCGATTCGAACTACGGTCTTATAAAAACGAGATCACCTTGACTCTTACGAGGTTTCGAGAGAAGAGTAATTAACATTTAGATGAGACTACATTAATATCCATTAAATTTCTAAAAAATATTGTAAAATTTCCTAGGAATATTTATCTTCTTTTTTTCATTTTTTATTCTAAAATTAAATTGTCAAAACTGTCGTGCTTGCTAAAATCTGAAAAAAAAAAAAAAAACAAACAAACAAACGTGCGTTCGTAGGCGATTCATCTCTCGCAATCGTCATTTCGAGAATTCGAAACGCTCGACAGATAGACATCTATGACCGATTGCCACATAACATTCAATATTGCCAGATTCTCGACAGGATACCTGACAATTGACCGGAATTAATGGCTAACCGATGCGCGAGGCGGTCGCCAGCCGATCCAACTTCCCATCCGGAATTTGAAATGACGCGTTAATTAGTTTTGCCCCGCGGCGACAAGCCTAAACACACATAAACGTAAGCGAGCCGTGCCGATGCGACGAGCGGTAAGCATAAGCGATCGCCAGCGATATTATACGACGCGGCAATCGATTACGACGCAATCGACTGCTGGCGCAAACGCGAGATACCCACGACTCGGCGATTCGCGGCAGCCCAAATCTGAACAGGCACGAATGGACAGACGTTCCGCTTCGGCGCATTAATCAAGTTATTAATTATGTAGTCCTCATGCTAATTGAGCCTGTAATCTGCTCGCGCTGCCGTAAAATATCCAGGCCGATTTACGCGGAACCGAACGCGACAGTACGTTATCGTTGCTACTCTATCGTCATTCTACCGTAACTCGTGCATTCCGCTTCCGTCTCCAAATCACGATGTTTTCCTCAAAAGCATTTTCCTAAAAAAGCAGCTAAGAAAATATAGCTTAAAACGGAGAGTCTGAGATATAATAAAGATCTTAGATACGCGCATGATCTTTCTTAGAAAAATAGCGAAATTATGTCGACATCTTTCTATTTTTCCCTTTTCTCGATATCAAATAATATAAGCGAACATTCAAATATGTATTTCATAAAAACGCGATTGAGTCATTTTACAAATACAGCTTTTGCGAAATTTTCATTTCGCATTTAACTATTTAAACTGATGATCGCTTAAATTTCTGTTTTAGGAGAAATAGCAGCCATGAAACGAAGGAAACCCGGGAAGACGATAATCAGGAGGGAACTGCAAATATTCTTAACTTCAGAAGAATATTCTCAACTTCGAGAAACGAATTTATTCTTCGTGCAACTTCTGTTCCATGATCGAGTTTAGCGAAATATCTCGCGCTTGAACAAGAAATAAATGTTCCAACTCACTGAGAGCTCTTATCTTGCAACAAAAAACCCATGATCCTTAAGCGATAACCACAGCGGACTCGCTAATCCGCCAATCAAATTAATTGGACTGCGTACTTCCGCGCGTTGATGAAAAATGCCGCCAAAAACAAGTCAGCTTCGGAACATTAATCAAGAGGAGAATAAAAAGGTAATATTAACGCTAGTCGGCAACGGTGGCCGGCATCAAAGAACCTCCCCTTCCTCCTTCATTTCTACAGCAGCGTATTTAGAAAATTTTTAGATAAATTGGATAAATTCCATTTTATATTTTTGTTAATTTCAAAATTCAGATTCCTACATAATTTCTTACTATCATCAAAAATAAGAATATTAATATACTATACAAACTATTAATATATAAATATTAATATAACATATTTTTCCGATCACAGCACGAAATTTAAAAATTTTTCAAAATATGCAAATATGTTTTATTACAACTATATATTATAATAATACATTTCATTGTAAATAAAAAATTGTATCAAGATGAATATAAAATTAGTGTTTTAAGGATTCTACTTTTTTGAATATTTTATCTCTCTTTACGCGAAGAGAAAATGACTTGAAGTACATTGCTTTGTTTATTCTTGCTTGTCATTATTTATTTCGCGGTAGCTACGGACCTGGTCGGCTCCCCTTTCGCCGATATGATCGTTTTAGAATCCTCGGCGGCACCTGCCGTGCAACCTGGGGCAGCATGTAAGTATATACGCGAATAAGTATACACTTAGTCCCCGGGTGCAGGCTGCGTGCGGAGAGGCCGCGGCTACGGTTATTACACGCGTCACGCGGCGTTCCTTACGGTCACGCACCCTCCTCCTTCTTCCTTAAGAAGCCCCCGATGAGGAACCCTTATCGTCACCCTCTATCTTGTCAGACGAACGCAGCCCTATTAAACCACTTACCATGTACCTCGCACACGAGTCACGAATGAAAAAAGTCGCCAACGTTCCGGAGAACAGAGTCTATACGCAAAAGTATAAATTCACGATGCGACTTTTTAGCTTTTCTATTTTGTATTGTTCGAGCTATGAAATGTAAAATTTGTAATTAAACCTTCGAGAGATAATAAAGTATCTTTATAGAAATTCAATCCTGTTAATGGCATTCTAAGATAATCTTTCCTATGTAAGTAACATAATTTATTTTCAAAGATTGATAGTTTCTTTTTCAAATCCGAGAGAGATAAAATAATATGAATAATTTTTATGCGAAAAATTCGATTGTGATGCGAAAGAATAAGCGAGATATATATAGAGAAATAAATAGAAATGATTTTTTTTGATAAAATATATATACATATTTTTTTTGCTTATTATCGAGAGAATAATCGTGCATTTCCGTAAAATAATCCTCTCTTCATAGTGCTCCTCCCTATTATTTGAGCACAGGCGAAGAAAGAATTAAGAGCGCATTAAGATCGGCACCTGCCTCATACATTTAACAAGATAGAAATCTTTACTTCAAGCAAGACTTCTTTCCGTATATATCTTTTCCCAAAAATACTTTATCTGCTGTTTATAAAACGTTTTAATTTGAGAAAAATTATTTTATTAAAAATCATTATATTAAAAATATATAAAAAATTATTTCATATTTTAACTATTTATGTTCAGTAATAAAAGAATATTTTAAAAAGACTTAAAATCTTATATTTTAAGCAAATTTTTTAAATTTCTATTCTCCTTTGAATTTTATTTGGAAACTAAGAATATTTTAAAATAGAAAATGAAAATAAAATAGGAATATTTTTTAATAATATTTCAGATAAGATATTTTATATAAAATCATATTTAATATTTAATATATAAGAATATTTTTTATTCATTTTATAGATGACATTTTCTTTCCTCAACTTTAAATTTTTTTAAGTGATAAATCAAATATATATGATCGGAAAAATGGGTAACAATTTTTTATTTTGCGTCAACTTTTCTTTGTAATCTACAGATTTTGTAATTTTTTCCTATTTTGGCAAACTTTTCCCAGAAATATGCTAATCTAAGCACGCGATCTCATTATGTCAGCAATCAGAATCGCGGACATCAAAAAGCTACAATATCTCACGAATTTATTCCGTCTTAAATCTCGTTCTCTACCTTTCTCTTTCTTTTCTCTCTCTTCTCATCTTAGAATAAACTCATCTGGCCAGATTTTCGAGTTAACGCGACGCGAATAATTCCGAGCTGTCGGTGGCCGATATAAAAAACGAACGAATCGAGAAACGAGCGAACGATCTGCGTCATCCACCGGTAGGGAACGAGCCAGGACGCAAGAAGGGAAATTTTCTCAGCCCCGGGAAAAGGAAGATGGTCGATCTTTGTGGAAGAGCGACGGTGGAATGCAGACACGATATACTCGCCGATAGGTATGTATATATGTATACATACATACATACGCCTCTTTGATATAGTGCGCGAAATCCTAGCGTCTTGAGGAGACGGAAGGCGGAGAGAAGAACCGCCACCGTTATCAGCTCGCGGCAGGATTGGCCTAGCAGGGGGATGCAGGGCTCCGTCGACGGCCAATGGCGTTCTGGTCTCGGCTTTTCAAGGATTCTGTCTCCCCTAACCCCTCGCCACCCCGAAATCCGGCGTGTCCTGGGCACGACATACACGCGCGCGCGAGGCGTTGTCGATGTACCCGAGACTCCGACTTTTCCACCCCTGCACGCGTATATACGTCAAGGCCACTGCCCACCGGTCACCAGAGTTCACCGTCGTCGCTGGTGGATGTCCGACTATTTCGTATATTCCACCCTCTACTAACCTCCCCTCGACGACCTCGTTTGCCGCTCCCTATCCGTTCTCCTTCCTCAGAAGTATCTCTCCAGGAAACATCTCCGATTCGCACCACAATGGTCCAGCTTTTTCTACGCTTTCTGGGATTCCGAGGGAGCTCCCGTACGACTGACAATGGTAGTGAGGTATTACGGGGAGAGAGGAGACACACGCGACTCGTGTGACTTCCATTTTGACGACAACGCGAGGCGAATAGAATCTACGAGTTTTTATTAACTTCTCTCGTGTAGAAAGCTTGTAACTTTGTACAAATATCGAGTCATGTCGTCGCGAATAATTTAAAAGTCAATACAAGAGAAATTAATCTATCTCTTCTTCAATAAATTAATAAAATATTTTTGCCGCAGATGCTGTTTTATTGTCGATATTTTTTTTAATTTTCTAAAAAAATTGTATACTAATAATTAATAACATTTAACAATACAAAATAAGGATAATTGCAACATATCAAATGATGATGAAATAATCATTCAAAATTCATTAATTGCCAAAGAAAATATATCGAAGTATTTGATATCTTTTTTAACAATGTTAGCAATGTAATTTTCAATATAATAATAAAAAACATTTTTTAAATATGAAAAAGAAAATTATGTGATCGCCTAAGGATAAGAAGTTGGACGCAAAGATATAAAAGACGAACGAAAAATGAGGCCAAAATCGCGGTTTCCACTTGAAGGCACTTTCCGCCAGCCGCCACAACTGTTTCTCCACTCGTGAAAAGAATTATGAAGGCGCTGCGAGTGACATTACGCTGCCAACGACAATATAAGAGCATCTTTAAGAGCGCCTACCTACTCTTGTCTTCTAGCTCTCTTTAATATTTTCCTCGATTCCTTTAACCATATTTATTGACCGATATCAATAAATGTAAAAAAAACCAAAACTATTTAATGCCTATCTTGATGCAAAAATTGAAAATATAAGAATGGAGTGTCACAATAGAAATATTTTTTCATTTCAAAATTATGTTACATAATTATTTTGGAATAAACAGAATATTTTGAAAAAAATAGATGAATTAAATTCAATCGAATAGATTTGTTTCTGCGATATTCGATATTCAATATATAACTATTTCAAAATAAAGAAATCTTAATTTATTATCCCAGGTTTTAATAAGTTTCTTGTCTATTTACGCTATATTTTACAGAAATCCTACCAATTCTTTTCAACTCGCGTATTTTCAATAGAACAAAATAACAAATCCATTATAAAATGCGATTTAAAAAATGAAATAGATCATGTTCATTTGAAACAGTCATCAACATATTCTTTGTACTTCGCTTTTCTCGATATTATGTGATTAAATAATTTTCGCGCCAGGTACATTTTTGTCTACCAAGCGATCCACCATTATAATGCGATCTGCGTATCCAATTAACGCCAAAGATTTCTCCGAGTGGCACTCTCGGCGCGGTACAGGTGTACGATAAACTCTGGTAAGCGATAAGTGCCGCGATAGAAAGGGAGAGGAGCGTAATGTGTAAAAGAGAAGAGAAAGAAGATCCAGCTATTGATAACATTATCATAAAAGCGAAACGTTAAATGGTCAGCCGCGAGGTTACGTCGACGCGACGCGCTCTATAAATGCGTTTACTTTGCGCCATAAAAGCGCCGTACTTGGGCGCTAGGCACCGTTAAACGCACGCGTACACACACAATGTGTGGGTGTCCCGACGCGTGTGTTTGTGCGCGATGCAGGAAGGAACGTCGACGAAGCACCCAGCGCTTTACGGTAAAAGCCCTCTTTGAGTGATCCGTTTATTGGTTGCTAAACATCGATATATTGCTTTCGGGGTTGCGCAAAGAGCCGCGCTCTCTGTCCTCCCCGTATACATATATGCATACGTATACGGTGGATATACGTCTCTTTCTTTCCCTCTTTCGCGCCAACCGGTATATGTAACACGAGGTGCATATAATACCCTAGTCGCGCTTTCTGAGCTTTTGAAAGCACCGCGACGATACCGCGGCCCGCCATCTCATGCCGTGAGGCGAATAAATATCTACGAGCGAAGAAAGATGCTGCCGATTTCGAGATAAATCCCGCAAAAATGTACGTTAACACCTTAAGTCGCTATTTTCGCCATCGTTAAATGCGCTCCGCGCACAAATACGATTCTACCTTTAATACAAATATCGAATAAATACGCTTAAAATATTGTCAAGATTTACATATATTCCCCTCTCGTTTTATAGAATGTATATAGAATGTTTTATGAATAAATCGAAATATATTTAAGATATATATATTATTATATATGTTCACACATATTTTGAAAATTGTGTGTAATAAATTTAAATAAATTAAATTATAGCTGATATAATAGATGATATAGTATTATAACTATTTTGATGGATTCTGTGTGGATTAATCGAAAAAGATCTCATTTTCAGCGACGAAATACGACAATATTGCTTCTTCCGAAACGGAGCCGAAACGCGCTTTAAGATATTCCGACCGTGTAAACGAAACGCGTCAACGGCGATTCACACAATACACGTGTGGATCAATGCGTAATATATCCACTGCACGTGCACGCGTGTACACCAAAGAAAGACGTGTCTTTAGGGAAGAGCGACAGATGATCGATCGACGATTTCTCGGGATAAAACGTGGAATCAACGTGGCTTCATATCGCTTCATCGAGATGTTCTTAAGCCCCTATTCTCGTCATCATGTCGAGAAACGCTGTTGGTCACGAAAAATAGCATATAAGAAGCAGATAATGTCACGAGTCGCGCAAGTAAAATATAAAGTGTCCATTTTATATAAATATTTTTTATTATTTTTTAAAAATACGTAAACGTGAGAGACAGAATTTTTTATTTTTAGAAATTACACAAGTTGAATAAGAATATTTGTATCACGATTCATTAAAAGAAAATAAATAAATAAAAATTGACGACTATAAAATTGATATCATAAAATAAATGATTTATATTTTTAATGACAAAATCGAGTATGTCGCAATTTTTATCAATATTACGTGGATCTTAATATCCAAAAATCTTGGCCAGCAGCAAGCCATTACCGTAACGACCTCAAAATTTACATGAAATTGCTTATTAAATTACTAAGTTTTTCGAGATGATTTAATGGTACCAAAGGCCATTTGTCTCCTCAGCTTTTATTTTCTTCCCTCCCGTTAATAAAGCGATGTGGTTAGGCTTTACACCAGCGCGTGGAACTTTACGTTCATAATTCCTTACTTCGGCTTTTCTCTTTCTCTCTTCGCTAAACGAATTCACTTATCTTTAATGCGCGTTTTCTCAGCAAGCATTTTTTAACTGCAGAAACATACAAATTCTTTGTACAAATTGAAACCCATATTGAATTGGCTTAAAGACAGATTGTAATTTAAATTATAATTTAAATTTTTCCTCGAGCCTTTGTTGTAAAATTCAAGAATAAACTAATGTAATGTAAATTTTTGAAAAATATTGGTGAATGAATGAATTTTGAAAATTTATTTTGAAAAAACAATCTGTGGAAAAATATATATTGTACATAAATATATTACATATATATTATAAAATTTTCTTTATATATGTATAAAATTATATAATTTTTTTATATATGACATACGCAAAAAAATTTAGTCATATTTTTACCGAAGACTAAGAAATCGATTGCAAATTTTGCGCGTTTCCCTTTTCCGATATTGGATGCCATCATTTCGACGCAACGTGATATCCGCAATATTTTTGTTTGAATTCCTAAATATCGAGACCGCAGCACACGAATAAAAACGAACAACCCCCTTTTCGAATAGTGCGGTAGCCGCGGATAGTAATAATAGTAGCGGGAATATTCGACGGTATGTTACGCGTGGGTGTGCGCGGCTTTGCGAGAAGTCAGTTGGCAACATGTGGTTCGACGAACGCAATCTGGCACTGACATTTCGAATTAAACTTGTTGAAGACCAGCCCTCTCCTGTAACTTCCACCAGATGAAAAAAAAAAAAAACAAAAAAAGAGAGAGAGAATTGGTCGCCAAATGTGAAATTTATGTGATAGCAACACGCCGAGATTGACCGACAAAATTTTTTATCAGGATTTAACAGTCATTATACATATTAAATATTTCTTATTTCGAGAAGAATACCTATAAATTTAGCATGATATAGAAGTTAAAAAAAATCATATCTCAATTTCTAAAATTATTCTATTGTTTCAATTAAATAACTGAGAATATATTGCAACTTTAATATTGACACGAGAAAAATATCAATCAATTTTTCATAAATAAAACACATCTTCCTGCTCCACATGACATAATTATTAATCATATCGCGGATATTTTTATTCTTTATAATTAATTTTGCAAAAATACAGTTGCCCTTTTAAAAGAATTCTATTGAAATTTCATTTATCAAAAAAAAAAGAATATGCGAATTTTTCTCTTCTTTTTTTAACGCGGGAATATCCAGCTCGCAAGCACTCCAAAAAAAAAAAGTTCTCGCAGTCGTCCTTCTTGGGCCACGCCTTCTTAGCCACGGCTAAGCCGATATGCATTCATTATAATAAGAAATGGAAGGCGCCGAGTGAAAAGTTCGAACGCGCGCACCCCGGCTTATCAACTTCCTCTGAATTTTATATTATTTAAGAAGGTACTTACCCTTATATATCTGCACCGGCATCTGCCCTGTGGCCCCATCTATACGTTTCCTTCCCGGCATTCGCCATGATGCTGTTCCGGTGTAGCCAGGAACGTCCGCTTAAACTTTCTTCTTTCGATGTGGCACGCCAAAGCCAAGATGCGCGGCATTTGAAGTTCACCGAGTGCTTATTATCATATTTATTTGTCGCTCGACGATGAACTTAAAAAAAGGACTTAAAGGACTTAAACGCGACGCGACGCGACACGACACGACACGGTCTTTCTTCTCGATCTTCTTCACTGTGCAGCAACTTCATGTCGGTACCCAATCTGCTAAACATAAAAATGATAAAATCTAGAGTAATTATCTAAGGCTGCGGTCAAGAAGATACTGAGAATGCTTTATTAAAGCGTTTGATTGACCAAGCTTAAAGAAATCTTTACTTCTTTTACCCTGATTGGTCATTATAAATAAAGAAACGAATAATATTAATTAACATGAACATTTACAAAAAATCAAAATA